GCGGGCGAGCGACGGATCGAGCGCGCGCGCGGGCGTCGCGCGGGGTGACGGCGCGCGGACGACGCGCGCGTTGACGTGGTGGTGTCCGCGCGCGTCGACGCGGGCGAGATCGGGGACGAGGGAGGTGGAGACGGCGGAGATGGATGAGACGGCGACGGATAAGGCGGGCGCGGAGACGACGGAGGCGACGCGAACGATGGGCGAAACGACGATGATGACGACGTCGACGACGATGAGGACGACGATGAAGTCGAGTGGGAGTGGGCGCGGGCGAGAGATGAGCGTGCTCGGGGTGATGGCGCTCGCGGTGGCGGCGGAGACGTACGCGCTGGGCGGACCGGCGCCGGCGACGGCGCGGGCGAGCGAAGCCGTCGTCAGCGCAGCGCGAGGATTGGTGGAGAACCACGCCCCGGGGATGGGTGGGATCATCGAGGATGGTTTCTTGGGCTTGCTCACGGTGGGAACGGTGTACGCGCTGTGGAGATCGTCTGCGATACCGCGACCGATAGGGAATCCGATTGCGCGCAAATCCAAAACCAACGCGAGTTGGGTGCACGTCTTCACGGGCGCGGGCGGGCTTGCGATGGCGCTTTACGCCGTGGGATTGGAGAGAATTTATCGTGAGAGCCCGGGTTGGACGTGGATGTGGGTGAGCAGCGCGATGTTCATGGCGAATGCACTGACATACGGGCCGCTCATGAATATCTTCAAGGCGAGCAAGGAGGGCAAGTACGCGATGAAACTCGGATACTCCTTCGTAGCGTCGTTTCAGGGCGTGGTTTGGATCGCTTGGAGCGCGCAACCGGATGCCCCAGACTGGATGTTCTGGGCCGTCATGCCTTACTGGTACTTCTCCCTTGCCAAGCTCTGGGAGTCGACAGAATTCGTACTGGCGCTGACACCGAAGCCCACGGACGCCGACGGACTATGGGCAACGATGACGGCGGGATCACGCCAGCGTCTGGGACGAATGACTCCCGATGCCGCAACTCTGACGTACGTCGGTCTCAACGCCGCGGCAGCCGTCTTCGACAATTGCTACATGGCGCTCTACACACTGCTCGGCCCGGAGCAGTTTTGGCACACGTCGCAGGCGTTCAATGACAGTGATTTTCACCTGCGTTTGGTCAAGGGTACCACGGGCTCGCTAACCGTGGCGCTCCTGATTTTCATCTCCACCTTGGGTTGGAGAAAACAGATGCCAATGAAGTACGCGGTCTGGCTCAATGTCGTCCTCGGCTCCGTCGGTCCTTGGATCGTGCTCTTCTGGCATAAGTTGTTAGATCCGAGCGAGGACTGGTTTCCGCAGTTTGTGTTCGATCCGAACTTCGCGTATCATGTCTACTTGAACCCATCCATCTCGTTATTCGGTAACTGAGGCAACGTGCTGTGCTATTGCTCTTAAAAAGACTAGTTGCTACCGTTAGTGTTTCTACAACGCGTGTAAATAGGACTACTTGCGCTTGTGCTTCTTCGATCTCTTCTTCGAAATATACAGAGAAAACCTGAGCCCAGCGATGACGACTATGGTAATGACGAACATGATGAATATCCCGGCGTCTAGCATGTTTGACGAACGTCTCTGCAGCACCATCTTAGCGGCATGCAGGTGCTCTTGCGCGAGTCCTCCGGCGTAATTCGAATCCTCGCGCACCACCGCCTCGAGCGTGCTAATCGCCCCGTGCACATCTTCCTGTTGTAACGAAACCAGAGCGAGACTGAAACGATTGGAAATGTCCTTCGGAAACTGCGCCGCTCCCTGTGAGAACGCGTCGATCGCCTCCTCGATGCGACCGGTCACCATGAGGGTCGTGCCGAGATACTGATACAGCTCTGGATGCTTGACCACGCGCAACGCGCGAGCGAAGCACTCCGCCGCGCGCTCATTGTCAGCCAACATTCGATGCACCTGCCCCAGATCAGTCAAGAGAAATGGATTATCGGGATCGATCTCGAGCCTGTGCGTGATGGCGTCCATCGCGCTCTCCACCGTCCCCCCGTACTTGTTCAACATGTGCTGCAGCCCCGACGGTTTCACCGACGTCGTAAAAAACTGCACCTTCTCCTTCGTCGTCGACCGTTCCCCTCTTCGCCCGCCCGCGTCGTGTTCACCCACCTCTTCCCGCTCCTCGCGAGCGCCCGCGTCTTCGTCCTCCGCCGCCTCCAACTCCCTCGCGTCGAACGCGCTCGACACCCCGACGTCGATCCACCCTCGCTCCACCGTCTCGTACGCCGCGCTCGTCGGTCGCATCGTCATCCCTCGATACAATCGCGTCACCGTCGCCGCGCCGTACGCGTGTCGTCGCATCGTTCGTCCATCGCGCAACCACGAATCGTCGAATCCGTGCTCGCGCGTCCTCGGCCGGCGCTCGACCGCGAACGCGCACGACGCGCACGCGTTCGACCCGGCGCTCGCGGCGGCTAAGAACGTCTGCGCGTCCGCGTTCGCGGCGTCCGCGGGCATCGTCGCGCGGCGTCGCGGGACGACGTCGGCGACGTGTGGGGTCGTTTCGCACAAAACCGGGGGAGGCTGACCGGGCGGGACGATCGCGCGCGCGACGACAGGGGCGCGCGCATCGGCACACGCGCGCGCGCGATGGCGACGTCCACGGCGAGCGCGTCGACGGCGTCGGTGGCGGCGATGGAAACCCTGGTCGTCGCGCTGCAAGACCCGGAGACGCGAGAGTCGGCGCTGTTGGATCTGAGCAAGAAGCGAGACATGTTCGCGGATCTCGCGCCGACGCTGTGGCACGCCCACGGCGTGATTCCGGCGCTGTTGCAAGAGATTGTCGCGATTTATCCGCTGTTGAATCCGCCGAATCTGACGAATCACGCGAGTAACAGGGTGTGCAACGCGCTGGCGCTGCTGCAGTGCGTGGCGAGTCACCCGGACACGCGAGGGTCGTTTTTGGCGGCGCACGTGCCGTTGTTTCTGTATCCGTTTCTGAACACGGTGAGCAAGACGCGACCGTTCGAGTACCTGCGGTTGACCTCGCTCGGGGTCATCGGAGCGTTGGTGAAGATGGACGACACGGAGGTTATTAATTTCTTACTCTCCACGGAGATCATCCCGCTGTGCCTACGAACGATGGAGCTCGGGAGCGAGCTGTCGAAGACGGTGGCGACGTTTATCGTGCAAAAGATTTTGAGCGACGAGGTGGGGTTGTCGTACATCTGTGCTACGGCTGAGCGGTGTTACGCCGTGGGGACGGTTTTGGGGGGTATGGTGACGCAGCTCGCGGAACAGCCGAGCGTTCGGTTGCTCAAGCACATCATTCGGTGCTACCTCAGACTGAGCGATAACGCGCGGGCGAGGGATTGTCTGCGACAGTGTTTTCCCGATCAACTCCGCGATCCCGCGTTTACGGCGTATCTTAAAGACGATCTTGCGACGCAAAAGTGGTTGGTGCAGCTGTTGCACCAGCTCGGGTACACGACGGCGGCGCAATAGGGCGTGCCGAATCTCGTTCAGTCCCATCCAAAGTAGCCTCCCTGACCTCGCCGACTCAATTGATTCGTTTACTAGCAGCGAAACATGATCGATTGTATTGCACAAGAGAACCCTTTTCCTTCAATTACAACAGGGGACGCGCGCGCGCGGTGTACATTCGTTTCACAGGTCCAAATTTTCGAGGGAGCTCTTTCGCGAGCGCACCGTCGGCGAGATTCGTCCGGAACCGATGGCTCGGAATCCGTTCACGACGACGCCCACGCCGAGACCGACGCCCAGGACGGCGCCGAGACCGACGCCGATGCCGAGACGGAGCGAAGCCTCAAACCAGCTCAGTTTCATCGGCTCCACCGGGTACTCATCCGGGAAGTCCATGATTGATTCGTATCGCTGGCGCATCTTACTGAGAATAGCGAGACTCTCCAAATCGCCTCCACCTAGGAGCGAGGTCGATCTCCACGACGAGTACTTGTGATGCTGCCTCGCCACGGCTTTGGATTCGGCGCGCTCGGTGGCGTGCTCGTCGATCGCCGGAAGCATCGCGCTCGTCTCGCCCACCACAGCGACGCCGCGAGGCGTTCGCGGCGACGGCGCCACGCGTTGCATCGGGAGCTCAACCTGACTCACCAAGCACACCTGCTCCTTCCGCGACATTCCGATCAAACCGATCTCGACCTCGAACGAGCTCTCGCTCTCTCTCGAAACCGCCTTTTCGGCCTCGCGAGACCTTCCGATTCCGCGCGCCGGCGTCGCCACCAACCGCATCGTCCACTCCCTGCTCTCCAATCGTCGCACTCGCCCACGCGCCCAGACGTCTCGTCCGTACACCACGTCAACATCGAAATCCTCCCCGTTCAACGCGACGTCCTCCATGCTCACGTACGCCCCGTCTCGCTCCCGTCTCAACCGCGTCTCGACTTCTCTCCGCACCGAATCATCCCCGTTCGCCTCCCCGTTCGTCTTAAACCGAAGCACGATGTCATTGTCGCACTTCAAGTGTCTCCACAGCGCCGATTCATCGCGCGCGAGCGCTCGAACGCGCGCGTACATGGCGCGAAGTTCGAACGTAGCGTCATCCGCGTCGACAGAATTCTCCTTCATCGCGCGTGCTCACCGCGCGTTGCGCGCGCGTCGAGGTCGCGCGACCACGGAGACGGTCACACGGTTCGCGCGGAAGAAGTTCGGCTCGCGCGCGCGCGTGAGAACGCGTCGCGGAGTGGAGTTTGACGATTCGATCGGTGTGTGACGAACAGATATTTTTCTTTCACCAATCGTGATTGGTGAAAGAGTCCCTTTCATGGAGCGCGCGGAGGCACCGACGCCGACCGCGAGACGCTCGAGGTGCGTGATCAGAGTGCGAGCTAGAGATTATAGAATTTCTTGAGGTAGGCCAAAGCGTCCTCATTCGTGTCGCACGCGACGAAGAGGTCCTCGAGCTCTTCGGTGGTGACGGCGCCGTAAGACGCGAGGTCGCGCTTGAGAAAATCGAGCAAACCGGCGTAGCACCCGTCGTAATTCATAAATAGAAACGGAACCTCGTGCGCGGTGTCCAACCTCTTGAGCTGCACGAGCGCTAATATTTCGAATATCTCGTCCAAGGTGCCGACGCCGCCGGGAAGGGCGACGAACGCCGTGCGGTCGCGCTTTGTCGCCCGCGTCGCCGCGTCCACTAAACCGTGCTTCCTCGCGCTGAAAAATCTCGCGCACAGGTACGACTCCGCGGGCAAATACGGATGCGTCCTCGAAGGTTTCGTCCCCTTTCGCTGTCCCGCTTCGAGATCGATCATGATTCCGCCCACCGGTTTGTTCGCGTCCAGGGCGCCGCGCGTCGCCGCGTCCATCATCCCTGCGCCGCCGCCGCTCCACGTCGTGCAATCCAACGTGTGCGCGATCTCTTTCGCTAATGATCGCGCATGGACGTAATGTGAATGGCTCTCCTTCACGCGCGCGCTGCCGAGGTAGACGACGCCGCGACCGAGACGTTCGACCAGGGCGAAGCACCGGTCGAGCTCGTCGCGCACGGCGTCGGGAGACGACCTGGAGGACGCCGAAGCGCGAACGGCGCGTGGAGATGCGTTGGAATGCGAGTGACGTCGAGATTCCGTGGAAATAGCGCGAACATGCGATGTTGAGGTGGCAGACATTGTCCCGGTGCTTCGCAAAATGACGTCTCGCAGAGACGACGCGGGCTGCGCTACAACTTTTCCATCTGGCTAACGAGGTTCGCTACTTTTTCTTCGCGCGCTTGGACGATTTCTTATCGTCTTCGAACGCGACGTCGTCCTTGTCACCGTGCTGCTCCTTGATCATGGACCGAATCTTGGTGAACTCGTTTCCGAGCTGACGCTTTTTGCGAATCGCCTCCTTCTTTGCCGCCTCAGCCATCTTCGCTGGATCATCCCCGCCGCGACGCTTGTCGAAACTGGCGTTGCCATAGTCGACGTCGTAATCACCGTAATCACCGGCGTAATCGCCGAAGGCACCGAAGGCGTTCGTATGCGTAGCACCGTCGTCTTCATCTAAGACGTAGTCGTCGGCGGCGATGGTCCTCGCCTTGGGCGCGGGCGCGCTCGCCTCGCCACCAGCGTGCGTGTCGCCGAAGAATGAATTGCCCTTCTCCTCGCACGTGGTATCTTCACTTTTCGTCGACTTGGCAGGCATCATTGGCACGTAATCCCGACCCGCATCTGCGAAAATGTCTTCATCGCTCGATGCCTCTGCTGTCTCCTCTTTGGCGCCCCTGGCTCGTCTTTCCTCTTCCTCCTTTTTCGACCTCTCCGCCGCCTTAGCCTCCTCGGCCGCCCGTCGCTCGTCTCGTCTAAACTTTTTGATCGCTTTCTCCGATCCCAACGCCAAGTAATGCATCAGCTTCCCCAATCGAGTGAGCAGACCCGCGTCCTTGGTCGGATCGACGTACGCGCGAAGCGCCCGAATGCCCGCCATCCCATCGTCATCGATCGCGCGATACGCCGTCGTCGGCACGTCCTGCCTCAACGATGACGATATATCAAAGCTATAGCACACGGCCCCGCTCGCGAGCGCCTTCGCCCGTCCGTCCTTTATCCTCTTTTCCTTCCCGTGCACGAATTCGTACAAAGCTCTCCCTCGCGCGCTCTTAAACTTTGCCTCGCCACTACTCGTCTCTCTCCCCTCCCTCGTCCCCGTCTCTTCGCTTCGCATCGCTCGTTCATCCGCAATGTCCTCTCGAACCTTCCTCAGCAGCGCGAAATCCAACCCCTTCACCAAGTGCGTTCGGCTCACGTCTCCGCCCAGAAACTTGCTCTCCGCGACTTCTCTCGCTTTGGCATCCTTGACGGCGTCGCCCGTGGACGCCTCGAACACCCCTCTCGCTTCGTCCTTTGGTCCGTCGGTCGCGTCATCACCGTCGACGTCTTCGCGCTCTCTTCGCTCGCGCGCGCGGTCCCTGTATGCGCTCGCGTCCTCCTTTCGTTCACCGCGGGGACGCTTGTGTTGATTCTTTGAAGATTTTGATTTGATTTGTCGCTCGTTCGACGGCGTCTTGGTCGACCGCGGCGCGAGTAACGCCTTGCGGAAATCATCGTTCGTCTTCGGACGCGAGGCGTCGTCGTCGGCCTCTCCGGGAGGGGCCGGGTTGGCGTAGGACATCGAATCAACGAGAGGCGAGGAGTGGAGACGGACGCGTGGCCGAGACATCATGGGATTAAAACAACCACTACGACCTACGCGCGCTTGGATTTCGCGATGTACTTACCGTTCACGGGAACGTCCGCGGTGAAGAGCGAGGCGAGGGCGAGGAAGGGGAGGATCGTCACCACTTGGGTCCCCATCAAGGCGAAGCGAGAGACGCTGGAGCCGATGTCGAGCCAGGAGCCGACAGTGGTGATCTGAAAGAAGAAGCGCACGGCGACGACGTCGCAGAGGATGAGAAAGATGAGGTAGGACTCGAATGCGGGTGCACGCTGAGATTTGAGCACGACGAGGAAGGCTGCGGCGACAGTTATCATCGGGATCAGCACTTTGAGCATGACGAGTGCGCCCATCACAAACGGGTTGAAGCGTGTTGTGATGCGGTACACGCTGCTCAGGTCGAAGGATGCGATGGAAGCGACGTTGCCGGTGCCAAAGAACGCGGCATCAATGAGAATAAGAAAGACAGCGGCGTGACGCACGTCCCCTGGTGCGATTTCCCGCGTATACATCTTCGATCTCACCGACGTAGGCGCCTGCAAGCCTCGCTCGAGAACCATCCAGCATATGAGGCAAAACCCAAGGCAAGCGTAGAATAGCGACTCGTAGGACACAGAGAACAGCGCGTACGTCGGGGCAAAGCCGAGAAAGACGCTCGTTGTTCTTGGAAGCGTCCGCGGCGGTGAGAAGAGTGGCAATACCGGTGAGAGTGCGGCGACGATTCTGCACGCGATGTGCGCCCACATTGGGATGGTCTGCTTGGCACTCTGCGCGCCGTCCACGACGAAAACCAAAGCTGCGGTGACGATTAACATTCCCATTTGCGTGATGAACACGCCACGGCCCGGTCGGGCTTTGTTCACATCCGCCCGATCGTCTTGAAACATATCGAGCGGACGGAGGAAAATTTGCGTCACCATGCCGACGACTGCGCTCGCCAACAGTCCATAAAGAATTAACGACGTGTTCGCCTCCAACTCGATCGAAAACGTCGTGAATCGAGATAATGTTAAAGTACTCAGCGCCATGAATAACGAGCGAACCGCGTTGTCAACGTCTGCACGAACGAGCAAGCCTATTGCGAGGATGACTAAGAGCACCGCCGCCGACGTGAAAGCATATGTGAACACGATGCGATCATGAAATCCTCTACATATTGTCTCCGTGGCCGCGAACGCACCCAAGGCACCAGAAACGATTTTGAGCAGTTTAATATCTTCCATACTCTCTGACTTGACCGCAGAAAGCGTATTCACGATGCTTAGAGAAAAGTACGCCGGAAGTCCGAAGTACAAACCGTACGTCGGCGGAGCACGACGCACGACGAGAACGACGCTCAAAATGGCGCCGTACGCGCAGGCGAGCGTGAGCGGTAGCCCCGCCGGTGTCTCCGAGTCGCCTTTACGTCTGGGAAGCAAATTAACTGCGAGTAAGACCATCCAGGTGACGAAGCACGCAACGACGACAATTTGCAAAAGAGCTCTGTCGTAGGTGTGCAAATAATCCAATGCCGTCAGACACGCGCGAGAGACTCCGTTCGCCTCACGCGTTGCTGCATCATATTTACCTTCCACCGCGAGACGATTGTAGTTTGCGACTCGCTCGGATATCCCGATCATGTCCTGATGCAGCTTGAGCGAAAACAGAGCACTGAGAGCTCGCTTTGCAGTGCGGTGAGCCTTGAGCTCGTGAAGCGCGAGTAACTGCTCCGCGTTCGCTATCGTCGCCTTAGATCTCAAATCTTCCGGCTCATTACTCAAGTAAGCGCCCGGAAGTAAACCAAAATTGTGCCTTGGTGGCGGGAGTCCGATGAGCGTAGCGGCGAGAGGCGCGATATCTGCTTGATCGACGTCGCACCTCATTGCCGGATCCACTCCCCAATCTTGAGGCGTTTCGGGCTCACCACGACACGAACCTCTGACTATGCCCGTCCCGTTTGCCACACCTGCGCCCCAAACTACCAAGGGTGTCTCCGTACATCCCGGATCACCGTCGCCGTGCGCGCCTTTGTTTGACATTCCATGATCGGCCGTGAGAATAAAAGCTGTCTTCCCATCATCCCCAAACCTCTCCGCGAACGCCTCTTCCACCCTGCGCACGCCCTCGTCCACTATTCCAACGTTTTCAAAATACTCTTTCGAATGCGGTTTGTGCGCGTGACCGCTTGAATCCAATCCGAGCAAGTGCAAGAAGAAGACATTTCCATCTCCATTCATTGCCTCGCTCTCGCTCGCGTTCGCCCGCTTCAAGTGATCGATCACTCGCTCGAATACCCACTCATCTAATGCTCCATGATCGTTCGCACTCGCAAAATCCTCCAGTGACTCGTCGTAGACGAACGAACGTGCGTTCTTGACGCCGTCCGTGAAAAGTGGCACCACGCTTGGCGCTCCCCACGCCCATGCGTTCGAGCTCTGATTCACGACATGATCGAACTCCACCGGATTCGCGCTCCATCCCTTTGTGATTGCGCTCGGATCTTCGTAGAATCCCCCTAACAGCGCGACGTGTCCCGGTCGACTCTCTGTCGGCGCCCGCGCGTGCGAGACGCCCCACCGCCCTCCGCTCGCCCTCCGCTGCACGTGTTTAGCCCGTCCGTCGCTAAAAACCGCGTCCGCGCGCGCGCCATCGGCGACGATGATCACCAAACGCTTCGCCGGCGCCGCGTGCGTCGCCAAAGAGCGCTCGACGCCCGGAACGACGGGTGATTGAAAAAACACGTCAAACGCGCTATGGACAAAGATCAAATGAATCGCGAACGCGACGATGACGACGGTTCGTTTGGAGTTCGAGACGCCGTACATTTGAAGATTGTTCTATGATCCGTCGGCTCTCGCGAAAGTTCGGGAGACGACGCGCCAGAGGCGCGAAGTGATGACGCAGAGCACCGCGTCGGTTGGAACTCGACGCGCGGGACAAAGCGCCGAACGGAAAGACGGTGGAGACGGTGAAGATTCGATCGAATGCGTGACAATCTAGGGATATGAGGTCGTCAACGTGCGTCTAGGGCTACTTTCACGCATCGATCGAATGTATGGGCGATCGGCTTCGTCATGGCGTCGTCGCGAGCAAGGCGTCGACGAGTTTTCTCTTCTCCGGCGGGCGACCAACATCTCGCGTCGACGCGCGCCAATCGACCGCTAAATCGACGAGCTGTTCCACTGAGAGCGAACTCAAGATGGCGCTCAGTCGCGCGCGATCTCTGAGATACGTCTTCTGACCTCTCCGAAGTCTGCCGCAACCGCCGGGACCGCTCATCCTCAGCGCACGAAGGAGTAAATCATTGAACCTCGGCGCGGCCTGCGCGAGGTATCCATCCAACGCGATGCCATCTCCCGTCTTTACCGTCACATCCGCCCCGAGATCCATGAGGTACGAAACGACCTCGACGTTCCCTCGGGTCGTCGCCTCAACGAGCGGCGTCGCGCCGGCGTCGTCCCTCGCGTCCGCGTCTAATCCGATGTCGACCAATGCGCGCACGATCTCCACGCTTCCCTTCGCGGCAGCATAGTGCATCGCTACTCGTCCGTCGTCGTCTGTCAGGTCAAAGTGCGGCTTTCCGACGACGTTGAATAACTCGCGCACGAACTCTGCGTCGCCGCGTCCTGAAGCGATCATGCCGAGCGTCCGTCCGCCCGGAATCCAGACGCCGCGCTCCTCATCCACGCACCCGAGCGTCCGTGCGTGCGTCTTCGCCACCGGTAGCTTGGCCAACACGCGAATGGCGTCGGCATTGACGCACGCGAACCAATTTTCCAGCCAGAGGTTTGGGTCGTTGGCGACAGTGCGAGCGACAGAGCGCGGCGCTGACGTCGACACGTCGTCGTTCGTGGATGCGCGCGCGCGTGGTAACGAGCGAGCGAACGCAAATGACGTTGCGGAGGCGCGGGCGGACATCGCGTCGAGGCGCGAAGTGAGGTGTGTGCTATGAGTCGCGCGTCTTCATTTCAACTTCCGCGTGTGTTCTACGGTACCGGTACTTCGTCTCATCATCTCTTTGGTGGGCGTTTGAACTTTCGAAGAGGTTTTCGACCTCCCTGAGCTTCGCCACCGCCGGCACCACCCATAGAGAAACCACCACCCGGCGCACCGCCGGCACCCGCGGCGAACGGGTTCGCGGAAGCGGGCGCGCCGCCGAATGCTGGAGCGCCGCCGCCGAACGCTGGAGCGCCGCCGCCGAAAGCTGGTGCAGAGCTTGCACCTCCGAATGGATTCGCACCGCCACCGGTAGCCGGCGCAGAACTCGTACTGCCGAACGCAGGCGTAGAACTAGCGGCTCCAAACGGATTCACGCCCGTGGATGATCCCCCGAATGGGTTGGCACCTGCGGACGAACCGCCTCCGAATGGGTTCGCCGAACCCGAGCCTCCGAAGGCGGGCGCCGCAGCGACGGGCGACTTGCTAGTCTCGAAAGGGCTCATGGGCTCCGGTGTGGGCGGTTGTTCGTCGGCCTTCGATTGACCAAAGACACTCGCTCCAGCCGCCTGAGTCTTCACCGTGAGACCGCCGCCGAAAGGAGTGGACGCGGGAGCGCTACTTGTGGAAGCTCCAAACGTGAAGCCACCTCCGGTCGCCGCCGGGGCGGCGGTAGAACCGCCAAACGTGAATCCGCCCGACGCCGCTCCACTCGCACTCGTGCCGCCGAACGCAAAGCCACCACCGCTAGAGGCGGGTTTAGCGTCGCCAGAGGCCCCGAAAGTAAACCCGCCAGAAGCTGGCTTCGGCGCGTCGTCCTTTGCTGCTGTTGCGCCGAAGGTGAAACCTCCCGAGGCCGGCTTAGGCGCGTCTTCCTTTGGCGCCGAGGACCCGAATGTAAACCCACTCGACGCAGGCTTGGGTGCATCGCTAGCTGCCGCCGTTGAGCTCGCACCGAACGTAAATCCACTAGAGGCCGGCTTGGGCGCTTCGCTCGCTGCCGCGGTAGAACTCGCGCCAAAGGTAAACCCACCGGAGATCGGCTTTGGATTGTCTTCCTTCGGCGTCTCCAACTTCGACGCCCCGAAAGAGAAACCGCCAGAGGCCGGCTTTGGCGCGTCGCTAGCCACCGCGGTCGAAGCTCCAAACGTGAACCCACCAGAAGCTGGCTTCTGCGCGTCATCCGTGGGCGTCGCCGAGGATGATCCGCCAAAGCTAAATAACGGTTTCGGCACTTCACCAGCGGGTTTGGAGTCGTCCTTCGCAGGCACGGCGGTACCAAACGTGAATGGCGTCGACGCTGGCGGCTCAGTTGTTTTCGGTGCCGCAGGTGTGAACGCGGGTGCGGACGCGGAGAGCTGTTCCTTCTTCTCTTCAGTCTTTGCACCGAAAGTGAACGGAGTGGCCACCGCAGCGCGCACTGGTTTCTCCTCGGGCATGCCGAACTTAAACGTAGGCGTGGGCTCAGGTGCCTTGACGGGGACATTCTCGGGCGACTTCGGCGGCGCACCGAAAGTAAATGTGGGCGCGCTTGACGGTGCAGCCGTTTCCGCCGCGCCCGAAGACGCGCCCAAGAAGGCAAGCAAACCGGAATCAGACGCAGCCTTCGGTGTTTCATCCACTTTAGCCGGTGCTGTCGTTTCAAAGGAAAACCCGGCCGCCGCTCCTGTCGCAGCAGGCGCAGTGGAACCGAAAGAGAATCCGGCGGCACCAGTGCTCGATGATGGCCCGGCGCCAGAGGCGGGAATGCCAAACGCGAAAGCAGACTTGTCTCCGGTAGTCGCAGGTGCTGGCGCGAACGGGGACGGCGTACCCGATGGCTTTGCCGACGCCTTTTCTTCTTCATCAATGGCCGCCTGCACCTTCTTCTGGTGTTCCTGATTTTTCGCCAAAAAGTCGGCGCTCCACAAATTTTTGACGACGGGTTTACTCGCCGGTGCGTCGTCAGCTTTCTTCGATTCCTCCGCGGGCTTCGGCGGTGGTGGCGCTGACGTCTTCAACGGTGGGGGAGCAGTCTTCTTAGGGAACAACGGTGTGCTCTCACCTTCACCAAAGGTAAACTTTGCGCTCACCTCGGACACGGGTCCGGAAGGAGCTTTCGGCTTCTTCCCAGTGGCGAGAAGAACGTTGTCTTCTCCAAACTTGAACTTCAAGTTGGGCGTCTCCGTCTCTGTCTGGATCAAATCTCCGGTAGGATAAGGTGTCGTCGGTGGGCGACTGGAAGACGAGCTTATGAACGGCATTGGTGATGCAGCGAATGAAACGCCAGACTTCGGCGTTTGCACAAATGTCGCCGACGTCGGCGTCAACTCGTTGACCTTCGGCGTCTGCGCCGGCCTGGTCGCGAACAATGACTGTCTCGGCGCCGTAGCGATCGTTGGCGTTGCCGTGCGTCCGCCTGCCAGTTGATCCAACCGCTGCAAAATGCGTCGAGCGGTGTCTGTAGTAACGGCGCTAGTCACGGTCTTCGCCGTTGGAGTCTGATACGTCGGCACCTCAGACTCACGTGCGAGCGCACCCGGGCCCGGACTGTGCGCGTTTGGCTCCAATCGTCTTGGCGTCGTCACCCGAGCGCGCTCGCGCTCGAGGTCCATGAACGTGAGCTCGCGCTCGCGCTTGAGGCTTGTGCGTGGTGGCGTCAGCGCCTGCTCCGTAGGTGGTTCCAAAATCGTCGGTTTCGTCATTGGTCGTCCGCGCGTGCCTAGGAGCGATGGAGTCCCCGAAGCACCATACGATCTACGCACCGAGGCGTAACCCGGCGACGCCGCACCCTGTCCATCGTTCGCGCTTGGCGTCGCCGCCGGTCGCTCCAGAGTCGGCATCGCGCGCGTTTCAAATGCCGGAGCGCGCTCGAACGGCGACGTTGGCGACTTCTCCAACACCGTGCCTCCACCGAACGCCCCACCAATCGTTCCCATCCTCGAAACTCGCTCTCTGTCCATCACCCCTCGGCGTAGGAACTCCTTAATCTCTGTGAACGGAGTGGGCGAGTCACTCTCGCGCGCCTCCTCTTCTCTCGCCAGTCGCGAAACCGCGCTTTCATTCCGCCCCTCCGCCTCGCTCGCGAACCGCGTCCGGCCGATACCACCGTTACCTCGCTCCTCCGGCGTCTTCATCGCGCCATCGCTTCGTCTTACGCGCGCTTCGACGTCGTCTCCGTGAGCCGAGCCGCCGACCTCGCGCGCGTCGCCGCCCTCCGCGAAGAATCCCAAAGCCAGTTCCCTCGCCGTCGACGCCGCCCCTCGCAACGGCGTTGAAACCTTACGGAACAACGATGCGAACCCACTCGCGGGGGCGTCTCCGCCATCGCGCGCGCGTGACGGCGTCGACGCGTTCGTTTCCATTCGATCGTAGATTTCGTCCAAAACTTTCAAATCTCTCGCGTCTCGCAGCGCGCTTCACCGACGCGCGACGGCCGCGGCCGCGGAACGAGGTCGCACGTCGCACCGCGCGCGTCGCTCCCGCGGCCGCGCACCGAGCGTGGACGTGTGCCGCGCCGTCGGCGCGCGCTTCAAGCTTTCGGGCGAGCACGGTGTCAAATAATAGGCACATGGGTGGATGCAATATGTAAAGGACGCACGAGGACATGAATGAGCTGCATATATATACTTCGTCGCGGAGCGCGCGCTAGTCGTGGAAGCTCGGAGGGGAGCGCAAGTCGTCGGCTTCGCCGATGCGCACACCCGAACCGTTCCCGCGACCAGTGGGAGATTTGTTGAAGCTCGGAGAACCGGTACCACCGCCGAAAGAGGAGCTTCCGAGGAAACCGGCGGGGGGCGCGACGACGCGCGTGCTGCGCGTGCGCAAGGCGTCTCGGGCGGCGTCCTCCTTTTGCTTGGCCAAAGCGGCGTGCAAAGCGGCCGCGTCCTGGGCCTCGCGCTCGAGGGCGATGCGATACTCCTCGATTTGCTGGTTGCAGCTCGTGTACGCGTTGTACAGGTTCACGGAATCTTGCTTCAAGGTTTCATAGTTTTCCTCGAGCTCGGCGCGCTGCGCGCGCTCGTTGCTCAACATCTCCTTGTAATCCTTCTCCATCATCTGCGCCTTGTGCTTGAGATCCTTGAGCTCGTTTTCTCTGACGTCCAAAGATTGCTCCGCAAGCTTTCGGAGCTCTCGTTGCTCGGCCGCGAACGCCGTCGCCTCCTCAGCCTTGCGGCGCGAGTCGGCTGTGGTGTTTTCGGCGACGTGACGGTGCTTCTCCTCCTTCATGCGCTCCTCCTTTGCGGCTTCGGCGTCGGCGCGCGCTTGATCAGCATTCGCCTTGGCAACATCAGCCTCACGCTGCCACTGTACGCACTGCGCGCGAGCGGCGTCGAGCTCTTGAATCAAAGAAGCATTCTTTGCCTCGAGCCGCATGATGACATCCCGCTGCTTGGCGTGCTCCGCCTCGTGTGCCTTGACCTGCTTATGCTCGGATTCAATCTTCGCCTGCGCGTCTTGGAACTTGAGCTGAAGCGCATGTTCCATCTTCTTATACTCCTCGACCTTTTCCTTGTGCGCCGCGTCTTGCTGCGCGAGCTTTTCATCCTTCGCCTTGTCGATCTCCACCGCGCGATCGAGCTTGGTCTGCATGATGATCAACTGCTGCTTCAGCTCCTGCGCGTGATGCCTCAGCGTATCCTCACTCTTCTTCTTCTCATCCGTCAACATCGCAATCTTCATCTGAAGATCCTTCACCTCCGCGGCGTGACTCGCGTTCGCCTGCGCGCGTTGAAACGCGTCCGTCTTCGTCAATCCTCCGCCCGTCCCCCGTCCCGCCGCGTCGTCCGCGCGCGCGCACATCATCGCACCTCCTTCGACAGCGCTTGGCTCTCACTCAGCGCCCCCTTGGTCGCCATCAACGCCTCCTCGCACTGCCCGAGCTTGAGCTCCAACCGCTCGCGATCGCCCTCGCCCTGTTCGATCGCCCGTCGCGCGACGTCGCGTTCATTCGCATGCATCTTTGTCTCGTTCGCGTGTTCCTTCGCGCACGCGTCGACGGCGTTCCGGACATCCGCGAGGGCGTGCGTGAGGGCGTTTCGCAGCTCATCCTGCGCGCGCTGTAACGCCCCGAGCGACGCGTCCATGGTCGTCGCGCGCGCGTCTCCCGCGCGATCGATCGATCGATCGCGCGACGCCACTCGGGCGATCGACCTGGGACTGTCTACGTCGAGTCATGACTCGACCAGGAGGGGGGTCCTCTCAAAGCCGCGGTGGGGCGATCGTGCGCCGTGATATCGCGTCCGTCGTCTCTTGAATACGTCGTCGATCACGTACTGCGCGTGCGTAAAAGAGTACGAAGAGGCCGACGCAGCCATGTCGCTTTTTTGCGTACGACGAGCGATGTGTTCGTCGTTCCTCGACATTCATCCCGAGTCAATGGACGGTTGGCGTTGATGTATTTCGCGTAAAGTTCTGACTACGAGGATTCTAATGAGTCGAAAGGCGCCAGCCCGGGGGACCGTAGGAGCCAGCCCGGGGGACCAAAAATTTTGCGCATCGTTTTTTTTGGCCGACGATACGACCAGCCTCGTTCTTCGTCGTCTCGCCCGACGCGCGGAGGCAGAGTCAGTGGGTCATGCGTCGTGACTCGTGCCCCTCGCGACGGCCCCCGTCGAGGGCGAGCCATCCATCATCGATCGGGCGTTCGACTCCACGCGCGCGCGCGAGACGTCGACGCGCGCGCGACGACGACGACGACGACGACGACGACGACGTCCGACGCGCGCGCGCGCTCGGACGCCGACGCGACGGACGTGGGGGTGGAAAACACGTCGGCGAACGCCGTCGATCGGGACGTCGCGCGTGACATGGGATCGCGCGCGCGGGCGTCGTCGGGCACGCGCGAGAGCGTCGTGGGGGGGAATCGGGGACGGGGCGACCGCGTGCGGTCGATGGCGTCGAGGACGCGCGCGCAGGGGTGGATGTGGGTGATCGGGGGGGTGATCTTCGTCGCGTTGGCGACGAGCGCGCGACGCGAGACGCGCGATCGAGAGAGCCGACGGATGGTGGCGAGACGGTTGGGGGGGCACGAGAGCGCGATGCGTGGTATGGCGTACGCGAAGGCTGGGGACGTGGAGTTGGGGAAGCGACGGGCGGCGGCGGTTGATTACGAACGCGTGCTACGCGACGCGACGCCGGACGCCGTCGTCGTCGGAAGCGAACCGACGCCGGAACCGACGACGACGCGCGTGACGTCGAGCGTGCGTGATGATGAACAGTGGAGATACGCCGTGGTGATCGATGCCGGGAGCACGGGGAGCCGCGTGCACGTGTTTAAGTTTGAGACGCGAGACGCGAGCGGCTTGACGCTCGTGAACGACGAGTTCGAGGAGATCAAACCTGGATTGAGCGCGCACGCGAACGATCCCAAGGCGGCGGCGGATTCTTTGAGGGGTTTGATGAAGACCGCGGTGGAGTCCGTGCCGCTGGCGGATCGCGCGAAGACGAGCATTGCGCTTCGCGCGACGGCTGGTTTGCGCCTACTCAAGGGGGGCGCCTCGGACGCCATCTTGGCCGAGTGTCGAAAACTCTTCGATGAGTACCCGTTCACGCACGACGCGTCGAGCGTCTCCGTCATGGACGGCGTGGACGAGGGCGCGTTCCAGTGGCTGACGATGAATTATTTACTCGGAAATTTAGTCGGAGGAGGCGCGGATCAGGATGGCGACGTCCACACCGTCGCCGCGGTGGATTTGGGGGGAGGTTCAGTGCAATTGGCCTATCAAGTCGCCCCCGACAGCGTCTCTCGAGCGCCAAAGGGATACATCACCAAGCTCAAGGCGCTCGGGCACACTTTCGACGTGTACACGCACTCGCATCTCGGACACGGGTTGATGGCGGCGCGCGCCGCCGTCTTGGCGCAAGCCCAAGTTGAGGGTTCGTCTCCGTGCGTGCACGCCGGTCACAACGACACGTACGTGTACGCTGGAGAAACGTATCGATCGGTGGCGCACGCGAACGGGAGCAGTCACGATTCGTGCTTTGATGTCGCCGTCGAAGCGCTCGGCGTCGACAAGGATTGCGAACGAGAGAAGGAGTGCTCCTTCAACGGCGCCTGGGGCGGCGAGCCGGGACAGGGAAGCAAGCGTGTGTACCTCTCGAGCTATTTGTGGGACCGCGCCGTGAACGTGGGCATAGTCTCCGACGATGAGATCGACGGACGCTCGAGCGTGAAGGAGTTCAAGCGCGCCGCCGAGGACGCGTGCAAGCTCGACGTCAAGGGTGTGATCAAAAAGTATCACGGTATCGAGGAAAAGGACGCCCCTTATCTTTGCATGGACCTCACATTCGCCCAAGCCTTGCTCTCGGTCGGGTTCGCCAAGCACGGTTGGGACGACTTTACCCTCGTCAAGCGCATCGAGTACCAAGGACGAGCGGTCGAGGCGGCGTGGCCCCTCGGCGCCGCGCTCAACTCGATGTGACGTAGATTCGTTGATTGATTGTTATTGGAAATAGACGTAGCGTGCGTACAGTGCGTGTTATTACACCAGTATAACTTAAAACATCTTCTCTCGCGCTTGTCGTCATCGAGACGTGAAAGCGTGCGAGCGCCCGAACGACGACGGCGAGCACACCAAGGCGAGCGTGTACATCAGCGCCTGCAATTGTTCGGGGAGCAACTTCTTGCGGTCGTCGTTCCGAACAACGTCGAACTCCCACGTCTTCGAGGCCGCGCCCGTGGCGTGATCGACGCCCTTTGTGAGCTTGCCGCTTTTCACCACGAGTCCGCTCCCCGTGAACGTGTTCCCGATGGGATACAACAAAATCGCGTCGCTCGTCAGCCCCGGTGGCACGCGCACCGCGACGTAGGTCGAATCAGAGTTTTTAGAGTTATCGATGATCACCCCATCCTCCTCCAACCGCTCCTGCGCGTCCACGTCCTCTCCGTGCGGCGAACATTGCGCCAGGTAATCGAACAATCGCTCGCGAATCAAATCCTCATCCTCGATCGCCCGCTGCTTCGTCCCGCTCGACCCACACCTTTCGGTGACCTCAAACTCCATATCCACCATCCCCTCCGCGTCCGTCGCGATCGCGCACTCGTGCGCGATCAAATCCATTCCGTTGAGCGCCCACGCCACGCTCCGAAGCAATCCCGGCGCCGAGCGCGATCGCACCCGCACCCTCGATCGCGTCTCCGACGCCCGCGTCACCTCCACCGAGACCACGGCATCCACCGACGTGCCGTCGTCGCCCACGTCGCACCCTCCTCGACGGACGCTCGGTCCCGTGATCCCCGGTTCGACGCCACCGCGCGCGCGCGTCCGCGCGCGTCCATTCGCTCTCGCGCTCTCGCTCGCGCGCGCACCGACGCGCGCGGCGCCGACGCGCCCTCGCGCGCGCATCCACGCCACGTCCACGCGCGCGAGCATGCGCGTGCGCGTCCACGCGCGCGACGATCGCGTCGACGCGTCGCGGTGGCGTCGACGCGTCGCCTCGAACCAAAATCACGTGTTTCTCCCGTACACATCGAGGGTTCGGACGCGTCGCCTCGAACCAAAATCACGTGTTTCTCCCGTACACATTAAGGTTCT